AGAAAAAGTTGTCTCTTAGTTGGGAATGTTGGGGGTACGGGACGTGCCAACCACCTTTCGAAGTATTTGAGGAGGGCCAATTTTCTTGTGAGATACTTTTTTGTGAATGATCATTCTTCTTATGCTTACTCGACTCCAATAACGCTAGAAACATTCGATAATATTGCTTCCGTAGAGACTGAACTACTAAGAAACAATTTCAATTTCGTATTCCGGATTGTAGGGTTTAAAAAAGGACCCCCATGGAAAAACTGCTTCCTTTGCATATGAATTCATTTTGAAATTACACATTGCTCAATGGTTGAACTAAAATTGAAACAAGTAAACATTGAAGAGTAGGAATCATAATGATAAGGGAAACAAAAAGTTTCCAAACTTTTGACGCGCCATTACTTGAAAAAATCTTATTTCTCAAATATGATTATAGGTTTTTGGAAATTATTCTTCCCGTCGTATTCTGAACTTGATTTTGTATGGAATATCTAAATTTGGGACAATTTCGTTGTGTATCGGCCGCGCTAGATCAAAAATAAAAAAGTTTCCAAACTTTTGACCGCTACTGTACGTAATAAGTGAGACTAGTTTGCTGACAAAGGTGCTAAGCGCCGAAAGCTCGCCAAAAGGCTTAAACTTTTGCAAAACTTTTGCAAACACACATTTTTGCAATTTCTTTTGTAAAAAGTTTTGAGTCTTTTGCAATAAATAATTGAAGTCTCACATTGTTTATTACACATTTAGATCAACATGAGACTTTGAGACAGAAAATTCTAGATGTAAAATACTTCACAGCTGGGCAATACGGGGTATCCCCTGATTGAATCAAAATTTAATGAAAAATCAGTTGTTTTGTGAGATAACAGAATCTTTGGACATTTTCAGGTATCATTCGTATACGGAGTACGTCATATCCAGCAATCACTTTCCAGTTCTGCCACGCCACTTAAAGCACCAGCCCCGGCAGGGTTTTGACCGTTGGATCCTAGTGGGATGGAAGATGCACTAGCCCTAGTCAGGTACATAAGAAGTGCAATGAACTAAATCTCAGCTCGGAAAATTGGTAGAAGGGAATTGAACGCTCTTGAAGTAGGCGGGCAACCGGCCCACTTTCAGCTGTGGAGAGCGCGTGCTTGGATGCGGGTCCTTGCGCGATTGCTTGTAACTATCCCGCGTTTCGAAATTAATGCTGCGTCTTTTGATTGGTTTTACTTGTTTGAATCATTATTGCATCTTTTTGTTTGTACTATTGCATGTCTCTGTTTGTATTAGGGCAAATGCAAGCCAATTCAAACAACTCCTCTCTCCTCATTGCAAAGGGAAGGAGGGGAAGCTCCTGCTCAAGAACTTCGCCGGCATTTGTCTTCATTTTTTTCTATGGGCAGTCAACTCGCCATCTACAACTTTCGACTTTTTTATCCCGCGAATTCGATGTGGAATTGTTGCTTCAAGCAGACCAGTTGCGAACGTTCGCTATTCCTCGTCAAAAGTTATCATCTGGAGAACTGTCAACTAATAATTGTGCGAGAATCATAATTAAAGCCCTGCAACTGGGAGTTCACCACAAAAAAGCTCACTGGAATTAGTTGGTACGAACACAGGGAGGCACATTCATTATGATGACAAGTTGATGTTTTGTTGAGTTAGGGTTATCTTCAATTAGGTCGTGCCTTCCTTGACGACGAATCCCTGAAGGGTCTAGACTGCATTTTGCAATAGTGCTGTACTCTCTGGCTACTGTATTATGTAGAATGGATTTCAGTGACTCTCAAGATATTCGTGCTGGTCATGTACTTTCGTTTGTATGCGGAGATCGCCAGTGGAAACTCATATTCATTTACGGAAGTGTCACCATCCGCTGTAGCCGGTTCGTTAGCAGTGGCTCCAAGGAGATCAACGCAGCGGGTCGGCGCGCAGGGAGGTCAACAGTTGATAAGGCTCGGCGCGTCGACATGTTGCGGTGATCTTTTTTCCTAATGCGAAATCGTGCACAGGTGTATTCAGCTCTTTTTCGGATGAAAAAAGTCCTATTTAGACGGTACCGATGGCTGGTTGTTAATCAACTTCAAAAATCCCCGCTTCTTTGACATGCGTGGATTACTGGCGATAGTATCATGGCTTCTGTTACCTTCTCTGACTTATGTAACACTGGAATCATGTTTATCATATATACCGTAGACTCTGAGAGTCGGGGCTCGCTGCACAAGCCCGAGTACTTGCAAGGGCGTTCTCGTGAAGCATGGGACCTGCGAAGCAATTCTCATGCACTTTAAATGTCACCGAGACAAGGTTACCGTTCATGTGGGTGATTCAACTTGCAAGTCACAGTTGCTGTGAGAGTAACATGTGAGGTGAAGGCTCCCATTTGTGGCCTCCAGATTTTCAGTATTTCAATACTTATCAGAATCTCGTTCCACGTTGCATTCACTCCGAATTCATGTCTATTCGCAAAGCCTGAACAAATATGTGACTTTATCTCGAAAGGAGCAAGATCGACATCATTTTTAAATAAAGCTTATGGACCTGTCAACAGTACAGAGACCTTGTTCTATCAGCGTCCTGTTTCGGAATTCACAGCCTCAAGGGGGGAGGGAATGAACATAGCAATTCACTTCGCTGGTGATTCAAAAGGTGACGACCCGAAAGGCAGTTTGCTACTGGTCAGCCCATAGGTGGTCATGTGGAGAGAGTTTAGCGAACCTGTCTTCGAATTTCTCGTAGATGTGATAGGGAGGGTGCGAGTACTCATAATACTACCAGTTTAGCTCCGCCCGCTACCGCGCGCATGACACGGAAGCCTCTGACAAAACTGACAATCGGTGAAGCTTTGGGTTTCACCGCTTAACTATAGCTGCTTCGTTAAATGCATTACTGTCCGTTGCCCATCTTGGCTGTATCTCACTGTTTGATAAGCGCACAAGTGCTAAAGTGATGTATGTAAACAACCACCATGCATCGAGAATCGAGGAAATTTAGCGGTCGAATAATTTTTGGTAATCTCAAGACGGAATGCCCAGTATTCACTATCAAATTTATTAGAGCATCCCATTCATCCTCAAGAACTCTAGAAGGTGTAGCGGTTGAAAGGTGTTTGAATTTACAATTATAACGCTAATGAAATGATATTGAAATGAAATGCATTATCTGCAATCTGGTTTCGAGTAATCTCTACGTTCGTACATATCGTAATTATCAGTCCTCATCTGTCGTTATCACTTTTTGACCCCCACAAAATATGTTACCGTCCAACCCCCATATCATGTCCCAAAATCAGTTCCTGACGACTGCTGCGAAGCGCACTATGAATTTTGTGAAAATTGTGTTTCAGCGCCTCTCAATTGCTCATATCAGTCGTTATCACTTTGTGACCCCCACCAAATATGTTCCCGTCCCACCCTCATATCATGCCCCAAAATCAGCTCCTGACGACTGCTGCGAAGCGCACTATGAATTTTCGTGAAAATTGTGTTTCAGCGCCTCTTATCTGCTCATATCAGTCGTTATCACTTTGTGACCCCCACCAAATATGTTCCCGTCCCACCCCTATATCATGTCCCAAAATCAGCTCCTGACGACTGCTGCGAAGCGCACTATGAATTTCGTGAAATTTGTGTTTCAGCGCCTCTTATCTGCTCATTATCAGTCGTTATCACTTTGTGACCCCCACCAAATATGTTCCCGTCCCACCCCCTATATCATATCTTGAAACCAACTCCTGACGACCACTGGTGCCCGAGCTATGAATTTCGCGACACTTGCGTTCTAGCGCCTCTTATCTGCTCATATCAGTCGTTATCACTTTGTGACCCCCACCAAACATATGTTCCCGTCCCACCCCCTATATCATGCCCCAAAATCAGCTCCTGACGACTGCTGCGAAGCGCACTATGAATTTCGTGAACTTGCGTTCTAGCGCCTCTTATCTACTCTTATCAGTCGTTATCACTTTGTGACCCCCACCAAATATGTTCCCGTCCCACCCCCTATATCATATCTTGAAACCAACTCCTGACGACCACTGGTGCCCGAGCTATGAATTTCGCGACACTTGCGTTCTAGCGCCTTTTATCAGCCCTTATCAGTTGTGATCACTTTCTTTACCCCAC